TGTATATATATATATATATATATATATATATATATATATATATATATATATATATATATATATATATATATATATATATATATATTTATCATATAGTCATTCACCGTATATGAGCTGTTCTGGAATCTGATTGGTTGAATTACTCGCCGTATATCAGCTCATATACAGCGAGTAGCGAAAAATAAGATGGCGGTCCAAAAACTACATGAGTTTTGCGAAGCAAAAAAAAGGAAAATATTCGCTTTGAGAAAGATAATAGTACAAGGAAAAACACTAAAAAAAAATTGACAGGTTAGCAAAATACATTTATTACATAGAAATTAGTTTAAATACAAGTTTTTTGAAGAATTACTACCGAAACAACAGCGAAAAAAACATGTTCATTAAGAATATAATTTGTTCAGAAATGTTTGCAACGAAATACAATGAATTTGCAGTCAACAAGCACTTATTATACTACCAAACAGCTGTATAATATATCTGAGTTTTTGGGAGATATACCGGTTCTAAAACCATTTCTCTCACTTCATCTTCGAGTTGTAAAACAAAAGTATTTCAAATTTTCAAGGCCAGGCGGCTTTTGGCCGAACAAATTGTCAAGACATTGTAACAGAGGATAATTAATTATTGCTTCAGTTAATGGCTATTAGACTACATTATAAAACAATTATACCATTCGCTCTCGTTGTATCAGCTCATATAAGACTCGAGCTCATGGTATAATTGTTAAATATATATATATATATATATATATATATATATATATATATATATATATATATATATATATATATATATATATATATATATATATATATATATATATATATATATATATATATATATATATGCACTCCTAATAATTATAAAAATCTGATATGCCGGACCTGATTTAAATAAGTATTTGAAGTGGATGTGAGACCGTAGACACCGTTTCAGCTGTTTTCAATTATGTTGGGAGCAGCTTTGAACCTAAAATTCTCATGCAGGGGCTAGTAAAATTTGTCAAGGGAAAATTGATTAAAAAACCATGTTCGCGACGTGCACGCCCGCGAGCACGTGTCGTAAACTCGTCAAATAGTTTTCCACTTGCATTGCTGATCTGTATAAGATATAAGAGGCTTACATAGACCTTATTCATAAATCGTGACGAGGCCTCGTATCCTAGGAAACGGGGGAAAACGCGGGAAAATTATTAAAATGTTTTTTTGCTGTCCGCTATGGCAGCTTTTTTCGTGAATATTACGGCTTTTTTCGAAAATAATATCCATAAAACTGAGCTTGAAAGTTGAAAAAAATACTTCTGAGAAAATAAAACATGATATTTAAAGTAAAAGATGCTGGAGTCAATCGAAAAAGGAAACCTTTGACTTTGTATTATTGCCAAGTTTGTATGGCCAAAACAAACAACCAACAAGGCTACAAAACGTCTATACAACACCAAAATCGTACGAAATATGGAACTATTGTTGAAGAAATAGGATTACAACTCACTCCGAGGTAATGTAGCCTTCATTTTTTTTACTTGTAAGCTGCTTGCAGAATGTTATCGAGCCACAGCCATAGTTCATATTTTTCCGTACGAATCAATAACATTTGACGTTCTCTTGTAATTTTTGACCTGTTGTTTTCTTTCATGTTAATGTCAAATTCGAAAAATTATACTTTCATTCCATAGTTGTATTGATTTTTCACGGAATAACCTTTATATTGACGTTAAAATCTCAGTAAAATACTGTTTTTCGCTTCTGGATAAACACAATCGCTACGTTGTCATTTTTTCCACACAAAAACGGGAGAAAAACCGGTCGCTTTTATAATATACTCGTTTACCGCTTTCGTTGTGGGAACAAAGTCTTAAAATACACACAAAAATCGTTATAAATCGCAAAAAGCAACAAGAAACAAGCAGTTAAAGTCGACACAATAGCATCTGAATTTGGCCTGTCAAGCAGTTTTCGCTTGTTTTCCCGCGTTTTGTTCCCGTAACGAGGCCTCGTCACGATTTATGAATAAGGTCTATTATGCGTAAGAAATAAGCCGTGAGGAATAAGTTACGATCAGTGGCTTAACGTTATATCAGGGGGCCCCCAGTTCAAACATTTCGAAGGCCCTCCCTAGTAGAAGTGCCAAAGGCACAAGTCCAGCGCCGTATGTGCACGAGTTTTCTAGTTGGTCCAGGGCATGCTCACCCGGAACATTTTTGAATCTAGACTCTCTGAAATGCCATTTCCCGGACTTTGGGGAGAAATTTTACAGCATTTTGATGGTCAGAAAATGGCATTGTTGCTTAAAAGGCTATAGTCTGCGCTTTGGGGCTCCCATTGGGGTCAGGGGCCCCCGGGTTCTCCTGGTCCGAGCCCACAGTAGTTACGCCACTGGTTACGATAATTTTTCAAATATTGCACTATACAGGATGTCCCAAAAGAGTAAGGACCTTTTGAAATCAAGCCTTTGTTGGAGTTTGAATGACTAATTTTCACCATGCTGAACTCACTGCCATGGGTGCGTAAACACAATTGAATCGAATTCTGTGCTTTGAGTTCATATGTACGTTGAGCGTATAATTTAACACAATAAAATCTCTTTACTCTGTGATCAGTTGAACCGTTTTTGCTCGAGCTGACGATGTGACTGATCAGTGAATTTGATCATTTTTGCGTAGTCACTCTCCTCTTATAATATTAGAAGCTATTTTAAATTTCCAGCAGTGCATGGAAAATCTAGTACTTAACACAAATAGAGTTATTTATTCATGCAGATCTCGTTTTTCAATACACCCTGTATTTTACGCTTCCGGCAATGGGTTCAGCATAATCACAGAGTAGAGACATACAGAGACGTAGCTGACAGTTGTAAACACTGCAGAAGCTTACGTTTTCATGTACCCACTTTTTTCAGGCGACCGGGCAAAAAATGATCAACTGCGCGTGCTCAGCAAGTTTAAAGTGAGTCGTCATCAGGTCGTCATCCAATCAGATGCATGCATCTAGTAACTTGCCGAGCATGCGCACAGAAAAGTGGGTACACTAGTTACGTCTCTGTATGTCTCTACTCTGTGGCATAATGCTCAAGCATTCAAATTATTATAATAGGAAAATTTCAAAACAATTTCCGAAAAAAATTTCGGGACACCCAGCTAGTAGGGCGGTATTCTTAATAACAATATCAGTGACAGTTTGTTATATAAAATATATCTTACTTTAATTAAAACTTGTATAAGAATGATTAATTACTACATATTGCATTTTTCAAACATATCTACAATGCAAACAATATAGTGAAAGCAATATCCTTAGTAATGCTGTTGAGATTCAATATCCTTGGTCTATCGATCCATTTCAATTATATTTTTCAATTAATAACTATTATATTTTTAATTTTAATAAAAATGCAATGTCTTGCCTATAGATTAAACAAAAACAAAAGTTCAATTTTAAAAATCTAGAAGCGAAAAAAAATATTTATTTAATTTCTGGCTTGTTGATTTAAAAACAGCTGCACGTCTTTAGGAATTTTGATATAAAAAAAATAATTATAGATATTTTCGGTCATTCAGTCAGAGAAAAGGTTCTGACAAGAACTGCTTGAACATCAGCGTTTCTTTGAAAATTCTCCGTATAGGTAAGTTTTATCTGTAACCATTTTACTCCCCCCCCCCCAAATCCATCGTACATGCACTTGTGCTAGCAAGGAAAATTTTATGCCCTGTTTTAGTTTTCAATGCTAATAAAACTATAATGACTATATTAAGAAGGACAGAGTAGATGTGCAGTGTACATGCATAAGTTGATTCACTGAACTGAACAGTTACCAGATTTAGCATTGCGTAAAATTCTCAGTCATATACCAAGTATAAATGCTACAAAATATAGCCGAGGAGCCTGAAAAAGCCATACTAAAGGCGGATTTCCAGTCCTCGCACGAAGCTCCTCGCAACTCGCTGCGAGTGCTTGCATCTAATTAAAATTAACTGTCTAGCATTGTGATTGGATGAAAGTGCTCATGCATGCACTCGCAGCAAGCTGCGAGGAGCTTCGTGCGAGGACTGGAAATCCGCCTTAAGACATATTAGACTGTATCTGAAACAGAAACATAGAACAAACCTCAAATGAAATTATTAATTAAAGGGCGATTGCGTCATGTGATTTTCAAAGCTAGGGCCACATGTAGTACTGTTTTTTTAACAAAACCATAACCGCTAAAATAGTACTGTTTGGCCACAACCGATTATATAGTACTGTTTTATTTATTGGCTTTTATATACGACTAATTCATAAAAGGTTGTCCTTTGCAAACCTTAAACTCTAAACTTTAAACCTTAATCTCTAAGCGTTCAAAACCTATATAATGGGAGCATCATTTATCAGTGTAGAAATCATATATGGGGTTCATTTCGTGGAGACATGCAGGGACAAATATCTTCTTACGAGAACAATTCATACACAAATAGCTGCAATATTCAACCACTAAGCTTGAAACTTGTGCTCCCATTAAGCTTTGCGCGCCTAGAGTTCAAGGTTTAAGGTTTGCAAAGGACAACGTAGCGCATCCAGAATTTCGAAGTGATCCGTATTACTATAGTTGTTTATTTCGAAGTGATCCATATTACATAGTAGATGTTATTGATGGAGTTTGCATGTTCGTTCCAAAATGGAACCTGGAGGATGTTAGTCAAGTACTTTTTCCTTTGTATATTTTTTGTTTATTTTTGGTTGACAAACGAATTAACAGTAAGGTATTTCAGATAAAAAATTTACCATGATCGAAGTCACATATTTATAGTTTTTTTTTTATACATGGAAAGAGTTATTTAATAAGTTTTTCTTCGCGAGAGGGCCATCTTAGCAGTCGACGACACTGCACGTTACCGACCGCTCAGGAACCAATGCTATGTTGAAATTCATGCTGATATATCTTAAAAATAAATAAAAGTCCACTTGGTAAATATAGTAAATATACCAGATTCACAGAAAACCCAACATGCGGCGATTTATATTTTATACAATCATCTTTCGCCGTTTCAGATATATTGAAGGAAATCGTGGTTATATATTATTGAAGATGAGATATTGTGTGCTGTCATGCTTGATATTCCTGGCCGCGGTTGTAGTTCCAGGTTTGTAAAGTAAAACATTAGGCTAGGGAAAGTGGGGACATGATTTCATTGCGGTATATGAATAAAAATAATTATTTTATTAGTAGACCAAATTATACCAGTAGGTACGGAGTAGATCAAAATATACAATGGAGTACAATTTCCCCATAACCCTGGTATTTGCAGATGGGCACTTTGTACTTTAAAGGTCCAGACACACCGGACTCGATTCGACAACGCAAAGCGACTTTTAGTTTTTTTAAAAAAGTTAATAAAACAGCCAATGAGAGCAAATTTTAAAAGATATATATGTAAACCAAATAACTCAAAATGTTATAATTCTTCTAAATAATTGGAAAATAGTTAAACTAGTATCAAAGTTATCGGTCTGTAAAAATCGAAAAATCGCGTCGCATTGTCGAATCGCGTCCATTGTGTCCGGACCTTTAGGCCTCAAAGAGCAAGGCTCATGCACTCTTTGAAAGTAAAATAATCTGGCATTAAGCCGAAATTGAAAAAATAATAGTCGTTAAGAGTTAACCCATTAAAGCCCAAAACTCTCCCCTTGACGAGTAAAATCGTCTGGCGTAAGACAGAGCAAAATAATAAATTAGGGTGTATTTGGGAGCATTGCGGTTCAATGGGTTAACAAGACAATAGATAGATGCTCTTCGCACAGAACAAAATGAATCATTGCGTTTTTCCCCCAGAGAACCAAAATAGTTCCTCGGCCGTCAAATGGCTTGCAACATGTACGCACTGCGTACCAATTGGTTGTGGTCAAAATATTTGGAGAAATAAGCAACAGTTGAAAAAATTTACTAGATTTAGCCACTTAGGCAAGATTTCCTGCCAACCGGGCTCACATATAATCGACATATAATATAACTACATTTCGAAAGTCGTGAGTTACACACATGAATTTAAATTACTAACTGTTTTCAAGCAATATAGCCAAAATTTGAATCTGAAATTTATCTTAGAAACGTTACCAAGGTTTCTACCTTTCTGAAAATAATAAAAAAGCCTTCCTAATAATTGAAAAAGTGTCATGTTCTGCATTTAAAATACATTTTAGTCTTAAACGTCATACAACGAATAAAAATGTCCAAATATATGCCTAAATTGTCTAACTTTAGTGGCTACAAGTGATCAAATATCGTTGCAGCAAAGTGCTAATGAATATTGTGTTGATGAAAGTGCTCGTATTATTAAATGGCCGCCCCTGCCGCTTCACATTAGTCCCGACGTCCCTACTCCTCCGCAGACAACTCCGTGCTTTCTGCAGGGTCGAAAGTTGAGTATTTGACCGAGATTTACCGCAATTTATACCGGGATTTAACGAAGTTGCAATTGGAATGCGCAGGCATTTTCTTATACCCCATGCATATTAGTAGAATCATATACGACTATAGATATATTAAAAGATTAAATTCAATTTCGGATTTAACGAAGTTGCAATTAGAATGCGCAGGCATTTTCTTATACCCCATGCATATTAGTAGAATCATATACGACTATAGATATATTAAAAGATTAAATTCAATTTCTTTCATACAGTTGAATCAAGCTGTGGATGTCGTATCCAATTTAAAGCAGTAGGTTGTCGAAAAGACAAGCGTCATGACCGAGCTTTACCTGAGATGTTAATTAATGAGAGAGATAGATACAGTAATTATTACAATAATATCGATGTTGACTGGAAGAACTGGGATGAATATTTACCTGCATTCACATGTCGCTGTGCTGAGGCTGCCATGAAAAAAGGATACAAATATTTTGGACTTCAATTTTGGGGTAGGTTTAACACTTTATTATTTTGGCTACAACTTCTTAGTATATGTTCTTACAATTACACCGGGCTGTTCTACAATTCCGTTTTCGAGCTTTATATAAAAATTAATTAATTAATTAATTAAACATATATTATTAAGGAGTAAAAAAAACTCAAATGTCACTCTGAAGATGCAGGAAATGGCCATTCTGGACTTCTAAAATTCAAACTTTTCTGAAGGACCATGCCCCGGGACCATCCTAGCCATTCAGGTATCCAATACGCCATGACTTGTCTCTCGACACTGCCACAGTGGCCAACTCAGTGTCACACTGAGTTGGCCTGTGTTCATTACCTCACAATCTGTTACTGTTCAAATGGGCAGTCTATTTTCCTACAACCACGCATTATCTATAAAGCATGCACGTATACAATGTCATCATAATTTTCGTCCGAACTGCTTCCAACAAAATTAAAAACAGCTGAGCCTACATTTTCAAAATCAAATTTCAAGATAAAGAGATTAAAAGCAATGACCGTTCGAAGATGAGTGCGCCGTGACGTGTACTGCCGAATTTCTTGTCAACCAAACTCTTCCTTGACGGCCTGGCCCAGTACGCGAACAAGTTTTCAAGTTCAAGACTAGCTTTAAAAAAAGTTTCGTTGTTAAGGAAACAAATGTTGAGAATTTTTGTCGTGAATACGAACCAGTAAAACTTGTTAAGAAAAATACATCAAAGAAAACTGAACATGGAAACTTGGATCAGTGGCGTAACTCTCATTGGGTAGGGTTAGTTCAAAAACTAAGGGCCACCGACCGCAGGTAGGAGCCCCCATCATCCACGGCCTATCGCCCAGAAAATTAGACTGAAACGTAAAAAATGCAGGTAAAGAATCAATTAAAAAATGCAAAATTCATAATGCTAAATAATAAAGCTTCCATCGACTACGGTAGCTGATTTTTTATTCCATCTCAAATAAACCAATTTATTCTTATTAGTTGTTATTTTTCTACAACAGCAGCTGATTTTTTATCCAACACATGTAACAACTAATAAACTAGGCTTATTAGTTGTTACGGGTGTAGATAAAAGGCGGACGGACGGCGGACGTATGTAAATATCATACATTAATCGATGTTTAAATGTCATACAGTAATCGACGAAAATAATAATGATGAGTAAGAGATTGGACATGAAGGCGTACGGGTTTTGGTTACGTGGAGCTACGGCATTTTTTGACGTAAGAGTGACGCACGTAAACTCAAAATGTAACCAAGGCCGGCCAACTCAGATGATTTTCAAGGAACATGAGAACGAAAAGAAGAGGAAATGCCAACAGAGAGTGTTAGATGTTGAAATGGGCTCTTTTACACCCCTTGTTTTCGGAACTAATGGTGGAATGGGGATTGAATGTCAAATGTTTCTTAAACAGCTGGCGCAGAAACTGGCAAAAAAAGATAACGAACGATATGCAGTTGTCATAACGTGGTTGAGAACCAGAATTTCTTTCGAAATTCTTAGATCAGTCCATGTGAGTGTCAGAGGGTCTATATCACCTTTCTATAGGAAAGAACTTGAAGTTGTGGACGTTTAAAATTTTAACGTTGTATTAATAGAAATTTTCGAACGATTTTATTACCTGAAAGTCCGAGGAACTTAATTTAAATTAATTAAAAATTAGATTACTAAAGACGCCTACTTAGAAAAACACACTTAAAAGTGTGTTTTTTTAAGTAGGCGTCTTTAGTAATCTAATTTTTAAAATCTGGTACGTTTTGTGCTTTTTGGAACAATAATTTTAGATTTTTCTATTGTAAATTAACTGTAATAACTAATAAATCTTGTACAGCAAAAAGTTGTTTGAAAAATGTATATATGTGTAACGTCAAGTAAGTTGGGCAGCGTAAATATTGGGTATTCTATTTTATGTATTTGAAGGGCTTAGGGAAGGTTATAATTTCGTTTTACATTTATATACAGTGGAATAGTAATGTGTAAGCACTCACATGAATGGACCTTGGCTACCTGTTAGCCTTTTAGTAAGTAAAACGGGGATTATTTTCATTATTAAAAACGACAGCAAGTGAATGTCATGTAATAGCCTAATAATATTAAAATAATATTAAAAATTCAATGATAATTCAATGAAATTTAATTCAATGATATTTAATTCTAATAATATTTTAATTCAATGGCAGTGTTAGGGCAGCTATATACAGAAGCACAAAACCTAAGGCGCTGAGAACAATGGAAGGAAACGTTCTTAAATGCCGTGAAAAAGTACATTCCAGTAAGAACTGATAAGGATAGCAACTCTCCCCCTTGGATTGATAAAGAAGTCCGGGTTCTTATCCGCAAGAAATACCGTGCATTAAAAAACTACCGAATGAATAGATCTGCAACTCGGAAGCGAAAGCTGCGATCCCTTACTTAACAAACTAAGCGTCTCATTAGACGGAAACACCAAGAATATCTGGCTAAAATTGAAAGTTCCTTCTCTGTCAACCCAAAGCTGTTCTGGAGCTACCGTAAAGCTATCCTACGCCACCGAGCAAATCTGCATCACGAAATAACGTTCGACGGAGTTACTGCCAAATCTGCAAAAGATAAAGCTACACTTTTCAACGCGCACTTCTCTTGCGTATTTCGTTCAACTTCCACAGGTTCAAAATCAGGTATCTGTGATCTGCTTCAACCATTAGAAATTGAGGAACTTTCCAATATAACACTTAATGCGGAAGACGTTGCGCGAAGTTTGTACAATCTTGACACATCCAAAGCGTGTGGCCCCAACGGCATTCCAACTCATCTTCTGCTAGAAGGCAGCATCCAAATTGCACCCAGCATTTGTGAACTATTCAATCATTCGCTGCACACCGGTCAGATCCCTTCTAAATGGAAATCTGCCAATGTTACGCCTATCCACAAGAAAGATCGTAAAGAACCAGCCGAAAATTATGGACATATTTCTTTGCTTCCCATCCTTGCAAAAGTTCTGGAACGTGGCGTGTGTTTCAGACTTTATTTACGATCATGTCAAACATCTCATCACCAAATTTCAACATGGTTTCCCTAGACAACGTTCATGTGTCACTCAGCTCCTATCTGTTCTTCATACTATCGAACAATCTCTCGAAATGAACACCCAAACAGACATCGTTTACCTAGATTTTGCAAAGGCATTTGACACTGTTGACCACAATATTCTTCTCCACAAACTTAAACACTATGGCGTATCAGGACAGTTGTATGCATGGTTCGAAGACTATCTGAGCGGTCGTTGTCAACGAGTTGTGGTAGATGGAGTTGCGTCTTCCTGGGCACCTGTAACATCTGGTGTGCCACAAGGAAGTATCCTAGGACCTGTTCTGTTTGCGATCTTTATAAACGATCTTCCAAATGTACTACCAGACGAGACCTCGGCAGCATTGTATGCAGATGATACCAAAGTGTACAAATCAATTAAATCGGAAGATGACTGTCAAATTCTGCAACACCGACACGCCTTGACCAGCCTTGAATGTTGGAGTCATGATAACAACCTAGATTTCGACCAGTCGAAATGTAAGGTGCTGACCATCACACGAAAAAGGACTCCCCTCGTGCATGTCTACCACATGAATTCAAAGGAACTCTTGCGTGTGGATAAAGAGAAAGGCCTTGGTGTTTGCGTCAGTACCAACTTCAGTTGGGATGTTCACATCCACACAATCACGGGTAACGCTAACAAGATGCTCGGGCTGCTTAAACGAACTTGCCCTCTTTTGAGAGACAAAACAGTACGACGAACGCTGTATCTCTCGCTTGTTAGATCTCAGCTATGTTACGCTAGTGAAGTCTGGTCCCCACACACTGTCAAACTCAAGTCTAGAGTTGAAAGCATCCAAAGTAGAGCCACCGTGTGGATACTACAATCCAAGCATGGCGAAATGACATATCAACAACGGCTAATGAATCTCAACCTACTCCCTCTCTGCTATGAAAGAGAGATTTCTGATCTGGTATTCTTCTTCAAGGCTCTCTTTGGCAACACAGATTTGGACGTCAACACCTTTGTCTCCTTTTCCAACAACAATCGGACCCGACTCTGTCAAAATCCCTCCCTCGCCCTTAAAGTCCCTCTCTGTAAATCCAACACATTCAAAGCATCCTATTTCAACCGACTAGTTAAAGTATGGAACTATACCTGTAAATTCTACCTCCTACCACCTTCGCCATCCTCTCCTCGTTTAAAAGAAACATTAGAAGCAAATATAAACACTTGCTCGGAACAATGTTCGACATAGAAATGCCATGTACATGGTCACTAGTGCGTGACTGTCCATGTCATAGAATTTAGTAAATAACTGTGTTTCATGTGTTTGCTGTTTTGTATTGTATTTTGTTCTATTTTATTGTTTTGTATAGTTTTAGAATGGTAAGCACATTGCATGGGACTTTATGTCTCGTTCGTGCTTGATTTTGTCCATTTGGGTATTCTACTTATTTCTATATAGAACTGTTGTGTTTAAAACGATGCAGAATTCTCAATAAAATTGTTAAATGGTAATGGTAATGGATTATTAACACATTCAGTAGTAGTTACGCTAATTTACAATGTGTTTACAAATTTGGGTATGAAAAGGTATATATTCTATATATTTACATGTCATTCATTAAAATTAAAGTTTTACTAATCTATATCTATTTACAATATGTATAAAAACTACTAATGCATACCTATTTGTAAATTAACTGATAAAATTTTAAAAATGATGATCCTAATCAACTAATCTAGAATTATATAAGTATATACAGTAAACTAAAGGACTGTGTTTAAAACGTTCAGTTTTAGAGGGGAAATTATATAATTTCTGACCGTTAGTTCTTGTTTCTTTTTGCCTAATGTATTTTAGTTTCTTTGGTAAGAGGCTATGAAGTTTATGGTTTGGTTCCAGAATTTTTTTAATTAGAGATACACATAATTCGTCCCTGCGTTCTTCCAAAGTTTGTAATTTTGTCTCAGTTATTGCTTGGTCGTAGTCTAGGTTTGGGTAAATTATTCTAAGTACTCGTTTTTGAATTCGTTCAATGCTCTTTTTCTGCTTTTGGGTTAGACCTCCGTTCCAAATCTCTGCACCATATTCTAAAATAGGACGAATTACCGAACAGTAAAATACTAACAAATCATCCATGGGGCACCATAACTCTTCAAGATCTTTAATAAATACAGACGCTTGGCCGCTTTCTTTGTAATATATTCCGTATTAGTTTTCCATTTAAGATCGCAATCTAACCATATTCCCAGTAACTTATATGACTTCGTTCGAGAAATATTATGACCACCAACATAAATTGGGGGTATAGGGGTTATATTTTTCCTAAAGTCAATAATCATCGCCATACACTTTTTATAGTTTAGTTCCATTCCTTCGTCCTTTGCAAACTGTACCACCTTGTCTACGTTCATTTGAGTATTACCGATTGGGATGCCACCTAAATGGTCACTGACATTGATTACTTCCGATAATGTTGTGTCATCCATAAACATCGCTACGTCCTGGTCTTCTACGGCATTACATATTTGATCTTGGTTATTGGGTATAATAGACGTTGGTAATTGGTTTAGTTTTATTATAAACGCAATATAGGACCCAACTTACTCCATTGTGGAACGCCTCCATTCATTCTTTTACAATCAGACTGTTCTCCATGGAAAGACGTTACTTGTGATCTGTTATAAAGATATGTAACAATGATATGTAACATATGCCATTTATGCAACAAATAAATCAACGCATGTATTGTAGATGTTCCAGGCAGACCGCTAAATTGACTGATTTTATCATAAACACTACTGATTTTATCATAAATATCCTCATAAATCCAATCATTAACGTATGATTCTTGTACCTTTGATAATGTACTCGTTAATGAAATAGGTCTTAAAAGGTCTACCCTACAGCAGGGTTTACTTTTAGGAATCCCACACCCCCTCGAAATTTTCCAAATATCTGGGAATACTCTGCAAGTAAATGATTCGTTAAAGATGTAACATAACGGCTCGGCGAAGTAGTTTGTGAATGTTTTTATTATCTTTACATTTGGGTCGAACGGACCGCTTGCTTTATTCGGGTTAGGTTTACTTAACTTATTTGCTACACTATCTGCGGTGATGCTCGGTAGTTGTTCTTCCATTCCAACATTAAACCAGCTATCATGTACTTCCGAGTAATTACTAGTAAGACTAGTAAAATATTCGTTCATCAGATTAGCTGTGTCTTTTGAATTTAGTGGGGTATCAGACTGTGGGCTATTTAGAATAAATTCCTGTTTACTCTGTCCAGTAATGTTTTTTATATTTTTCCACCACTGCTTTGAATTGGAACAACGAGCAGGTTTGATTTTTTCACTGTAATATTTCTGCTTCTCTTTCCGAATTTCTGAGGTAATTTTATTACGAAGCGATCTGTATTCTTCCATTCTCCCACGTTGGTACATTTTATTTCTGCTAGATATCATTTGTTTAATCCTCCCAGTCATAAAGGGTTTGTCATCTTTATGGACCTTGACAATTTTTGTTGGAAAACAGTTATCAATCATTGCATTAGTAATCGATAAAAAGGCGTTCACTTTGGTGTTAATACACGAGGCCTCGTAAACCGCTGACCACGTCTCTAGACCGATACAGTCTTCAAACAAGCGCAACCTCGTTTCTTTAATGGGTCTCACTGTAATCTTTTTTATCTCATTTTTACCCCGAGCTTGTTCTTTCGATTTCTACATAATAGCGCTGTGGTCTGAACAGCCAATCGGTGCCAGAGATACTGGTGTTTCATAAAACGAATGTGCATTGGTCAGGATTAAGTCTAGAATTGCGTTACCTCTGGTTGGTGTTCTGATTACTTGTTTTAACTTACACTGATTTTTAAGGACTCTTTCCTGAAATCCATTACTTAAGGGATTAAAATCTCCAGTAATAATAATTGATGTATTTGGACTCTCGCTAATAAGAGAATCATAACAATAGCAACAATATTCATAAAAACTTTCAACTGCTTCGGTATTCATCGACGGTGGAAAGTATACACACGCAAGTGCAAGTTTTGAAATTTTTCGTGGAAGCCATTTTGGTCGGAGAGTAATCCACAGACATTCATAGTCCGAGTTGTAAAAATCTGGACGAATTTTGAAAGGAAGTGATTCTCTTATATATACGGCCACGCCTCCTCCTCTTCGAGTTGGTCTATCTTTCCTAACTATGATAAAATCAGGAATATGTAAGGCCTCATCGGGAATAACTTCCGTAAGCCAGGTTTCAGTAACCATAATTACGTCCGCATTTTGTTGGTTAATTATAATCATCAGTTCGTCTATTTTGTTGAAAAGAGATCTAGCATTAAAAAGCAGTATATTTGGTAAATATGTTTAATATTCTGACGACTAGGTCTTGAAATCGGAATATTTACCAAATTATTTCTAGGTGCATTCTGCCTGCAGTTGTGTTTACGTGTATTGGTAATTCGACACTATTACTCGTTGTGACGGGACTTCTGTAAGGTTTTCTCTGAGTTAGACGTACATTAATTGGTTGGGATTTATAATTGCCAGAGTAATCATGATTTTGTATGAACAAGTGAGGCACATCCATGGGATCTTGGATGCTATTTTCTTTTATTAATCTTTCTTTTAGTTTCAAAATATCATCCTTAGTATGTTTTCCTTCCCTAAGTCCGTTTAATATTGCAGCAAACACTTTGCTCTCCCTTTGGCGCATAATTTCTTCCAATTCAAACAAGTTATCTTGCCATTTATTAGGAGCAAGAACTTATATTCTGAATTGTCTAGATTCTTAAATATATACCTGTCCATTACAGGTTCCAGCTGAAATAAAACACCGATAACAACCATGCTTACACCACCAAAATCTTCTTTACTTCCTTTAATATCTTTCAGTCTATTATTTATTTGAACATTGAACATTGTACTACCAACCATTGAGATCTCATCCAAAAATATTAGTTTTAAACCACCAAGTTGACACCGTAAGGTGTTTAACCTGCTTGAATCAAGATGTTTGTAATTCTTTAAAGATTGACATGCAGGTATTGAAAGTGCACTATGTATTGTGTTACCTTTGATATTGTAAGCTGCTTTACCAGTTGGTGCAAGCATTAATATTTTCACTTGATGGAAATCATCACCTGCTCTACTATTATAATACTTTAATGCTGCTTGATAAAGACACTTAGTGAGATGTGACTTGCCAACTCCAGCCCCTCCACTAAGAAAACAGTAGAATGGATTGTCAGAAGTTTTAATAAGATGTAAAACATGGAAGAAAAATTCTTTTTGTTCTCTGTTTAATTTTTGTACCATTCCTCTGTAAACATCATCCTGTTCTTCATGTAATATCAGCTGCTCCGTATTAGATGCAGCTGAAGGAATTCCAAGATCACCAGATAGGTCATAGTTTTCATTAAATTCTGGATGAAGGTTTTGTGCACCTTCATCCTCATCTTAACGCTCAATGTTTTGTGTTCCTGGGGCAATCAGATCATAGTTTTCATCACTATCTTCCACGTTATTAAGCTGGTCTTGAATCGCATTCAGGTCTTCACTGCACATAGCATAACATTTCATTTGCTCATCTATTGTATTTTTAACTTGAAAATAGTGTTCTTGGTAAGAAGCACAATTCCCTAATAAATCAGTTATTTCATCCCTCCATGAAGTGAATAACATGATTAGTTCACGGCAATGCTTTTCAGAATCAACTTCCTTGTTAAAACAGACACTTCGAATAATTCTGGCTTTAGATCTTTTTTATTATTTTGTTCGCTTTCTTCTTCCTCATTATTATCATCATTGTTGTTTAGTACTGGAGTTTCCCCTTTTTGCTTCTTCACAAGCTGCCTTTTTGAGCCTTGGATATATATGATACAATGTATATTGCACATGCATATACATATAGTACAAACTGAATATCCATATTTGCACGCCATGCACTGAGACATGCAGCATTATAATTATTGATCCTTAGTTCGTTCGGTTTCCTTTTTAAGAATATAGTTGGTGTCTTGAGACTAGATTGAACAGCTAGCAAATAGTTTTGTTCTGTCAGTTTAAGATTTACAAGCAACTGGTCAAATGTAATTTCCTCACCCTCTTTCACATCATTCAGATGTTTCTTTATAAATTTCCAAGTGTCTTTATGTTGATTAACTTCATTATCATCCATATCAATATCTAATGGATATAGAATTTTGGTTGACTTATAGGTGGCTGTGGGTAATTAAAACGACACACACTTTTGGATTTCTTTCGACATGTGTGAGAATGGCGATGAACTTGCCTGTTTACAAGTGCAAGTAAATCTGGATTCTCAGTTGGCTTTTCACATGTGATTGTCGTATCAATGAATGAAACAACATCACAATCAGAATCTTCCACGAACGTAGGAGCATTTTCTAGCGACATTAACATGTGAATATGAGGTGATCCTCTTTGTTAATATTCAACCCTATAGAACCAGTCTGCAATTTTTCCTAGAGGTGCAGCACTACTTAAAAGAAAGTCTTGCAAAAACTTGTGTACTTGATAATCAAAATGCCTGGCACATGTCACAGGAGCACTTTGAATTAACCTACTTTTCTCTTCCCAATTGAGGTTCTCAAGTTCAGTGTCAGTGTATGTTTTGTTATCAACAAGTTTACCAAGTATTCTGCTCAGTAAATGAGTCCATTGTGTTTCCGCTGAAGAAAAACTACAAAATAATGAAGCAGATCCTAGCTGCCTGATCATTGCAAATATACCCTTTTTAGCTTTTTCAAAATATGGAGGTGAACCCCTTACAGCTCTAAGAAATTTAAATCCTTGATCATGATGAATCATGTTATCTAATGCACCCGGTTGTTTTAGTTGACCGGCAGTGATTGTGCTACTATTTCGTTGACATTTTCTTAATGCAACTTGTGACTGCCCAAGCAAAATCTTTATTTGCAATTTCTTCGTTTTAAAGAAAATATTTTCCACACACATTGCAGCCCTTCGGTCAGGGGTTATTCTAAGCTGGATTTGCTAGGTCTTTCTGGAGTTGGAAAAAAAGATCTGGAGTTGTAAATAAAAAACACTGGAGTTGTCACTGATATAATACTGATATTTTAGTCTTCAACTCAACACACAAAAATATATCATGTACATTCCAGCAGTCACATTCATTGACGTATAAAATACAATGTATAGTCTAGTTTAAAAATGTAAATTAGAGAAGTTATCAGTGTTTTTTATCCATAAGCCAAGCTTTGATCAAAACAGTTTGGCCTTCTTATCATGTTCTACATGTTGATCCACTAGCTGTCATTGCTTGTGTGTTCTTTCTTCTCAGTTGCTTCTTTGAACACACCATTGAACCATCGTTGATAACCTGCTTTGTCAGTTTCCTTGTTTCTGCCTTCCCTTTGTTGCAGGCAATAGGCATCTCACAACACACATTCTTTTATCCAATTCTTCAAGAGTTGGCATATTGAAGTGAACGTATAGATAAAGATTTTGTGTTTCCACATCAATAGAATTCCTCAATCAGCGATGTTTTTACAAGGTTGTATGCACTGATTAACCTTTCAATGTCGCACGAGTGAGGTTTTGCTGCCCATATTCTGGCACGGGTTACGACAATATTGGGGTAAATGTTTTGTTTTCTTGCCAAATACTATCCCATCTGAGCTAAACGTAGGTTTTGGAGAGTACGTATCAGCTCTGGTGATGTTACAATGCTGTTAAATTCGAGAGAAAATTCTATTAACGGTAAATCTGAACATATTGTTTCATGGAATTCCTTGATATTAGCATCAGGCTTTAAAGCAATAACGGGTTTGACCACTTTCAATATCTTCTGATCAACACCAAATCTCTGATCTAGAAATTCCACAAGGCAATAAATAATTTCTTTCTTCACCGTTGTTAGATCTCTTAAAGCTGACACAAAAAGGTGATGAACTCGCCTTTCTCGTGGAATACTAAGGGCAATGCCTTTCAAAGAAAGTTGATTATATCAGGCTCTTCCTTTGAATTTTACAAGAAGTATTATAGTAGAAGATTCCACTCTTGACATTCATTGTAGCAGAGACGATTTGAGAAGTTCTTCTTGAAAGATTAGTTTCGTTCAATATTTACATTGCTTTATCAACTTTCTGGAAAGTGAAAGCCAAAGGTATTGAATCTAAATTGAGAAGTCTGAAGTGATTCTATTCGTCGTTATCTCTTATCAGTTTGATACGTTGATAGATTTTAACATTTAATTCTCAGTCAGCAGGGGAAACATTTTATTTATTTTTATAAAGACCCAGAAATAAAATGATATTAATTGCCACTGCTAAATTGAAAAGTATTTGACCTGAGATTTAGCTAAACTCATTCGAAGGTCATATTTATTTCCTAAAATTTTATAGTTAATGACTGAAAAACAGCAAACTTCGCAGGGCTATATTATCCGCATTTTACAAGATTTCGCAAGGAAACTTCGGAATATTACTAATTTTGCGATGCTCTTTCAAGCCGTGATAAAACGTTTGTCTAAACTTGTCTAGATCAAAATTGTGTTCATTAGGGAATAGGTCCATTGATTGCTCCCACCATTGATCCAATAAGAACCCATGTCCTGAAAGACCTGAACGTGTATTACCTATATTACCTACTTCATCAACAGGTGTACCGTATGAGTGGGGTCTGACGTGACCACACCAAAAAGTGACTATTAGCAGGCTAACAGTTGTTGTGACAGAGTCACAGTGTAACTAGAGAATAAGTAAGGTGAAGACTACACCAAATTCAAAAAAGTGTTGCTAGTTATTCTCAGGGATAATGCGGGTCGATACAGTATTAGTACTTCAACAAAGTGGCAGAATTTTTGTATTTACTGGAGTAATTGTAAATTATCCTTAGAATAACCCCTGCCTTCGGTCAGACCTTCTTAATTCAGATTTACAAATTTCACTATAATGGACTTTGGTTAGTCTATTTGTATTGTCTGGTCGCTTCTGTCCAAGAAATATACCAGGATATGCTATTTCCTCTGAGTATTTATTTCTAAATATACTCATAGGCCTATTGCCCTCACCAGGTGCAACATTTAAAATATGCTGACGTTCATTATCAGTGACAAAATCTGGAGATGTTAACATAGTGTCAGTGATTCCAGCAGGTATTTCTGCCTCGTCTTCACCCCAGTGTTCATCATCATCACATGCTGACGATTGCTGGGGTTTACATTCTGTGTCACAGTTGAAGCTTTCGGCATTACAGTCCACAACATTTTCTGAACCCTCTGAAGTTTGATCATTGTCACTATCATCAAATAGCATTTGAGTATTTGAATTATCTTCAAGCTAAGCGTCATTGAAAGTTATTACTTCATCTTTATAAAGATTACCATTAGTTACAAGCCATTTGGCAGCTTCTGCTACTTTATTTGGTCTGACATTTAGTGATAATGCTGAACTTTTGTATTGCAATCTTCTCTTAAGGTTAACTTTAATTGTGCTGGTGTCATTTGGAAACCTTGGCAACATGTTAACAGTATTAACAACATCTGCTGGAACATTAACAATGTTTCCATTAATTTTAGTTGTCTACCTCTAGGAGCTTGCATTAATTTTTGAAATGCAAGTCTTGGGGCAAGCAATCTACACCCTAATTCATTTAGATGGAAAAACAAAGGTTTTTCTGGAAACTGCAGCCCATTTACGGCAGCACAAGGAGGGACCTGATTGTTTTTTAAATACTTGTTACAGGTTTTACACAACCACTCCACCTTATTAACGGTTTTTCTATTTAACAATCTTTCTTGAACATCAGGATTATTTTCTGTAAGTGTTGTGACTGGAATGACACTATGCTTGTACCCTAATTGGTCACAACAAGTGCAAATATAAAGAGGACCTTGTGAGACAACATCATGAAATTTGATATTAAAGTTTGTAGTGGTTCAAACTCACAACGTTTTTGTTTCTTATATTCCTTTGTGTACAGTCTTTTCTTTTGCTTAGCCTCAATGCTCAGTGTAGAGGGCTGGGAACTCTCACTGGCCCGTTTACGTTTCCTATATTCCTTTGCGTACAGCCTTTTCTTTTGTTTAGCCACAATCAGTGGCGTAACTACTATGGCCTCGGACCGGGCGAACCCGGGGGCCCCCAACCCCAATGGGCCAAATGGAGGCCCGCAGGCTCAGGCTGTAGAGCAAAAACATTGACCAGGGCCTCTGATATGTCACAATGTCGTTTTCTGACCATCAGAATTCTGTAAAATCTCTCCCCAAAGGCTGGGAAATGGCATTTCAGAAAGTCTAGATTCAAAAATTTTCCGGGTGAGCATGCCCTGGACCCCTAGAAAACTCGTGCATATACGGCGCTCAACTCGTGCCTTTGGCACTTCTACTGGGGGGGGCCTTCGAAAATTTTGAACCGGGGGCCCCTGATATAACGTTACGCCACTGGCCACAATACTCAGTGTTGAGGACTGGAACTCTCATTGGCCCGTTTACGTTTCCTATATTCCTTTGCGTACAGTCTTTTCTTTTGCTTATCCTCAATGCTAAGTGTTGAGGGCTGGGAACTCTCCCTGGCCCGTTTATGTTTCATATATTCCTTTGCATACAGTCGTTTCTTTTGCTTAGCCTCAATGCTTAGTGTTGAGGGCTGGGAACTCTCACTGGGGGTATGACTAAAGGGAGAGGTACCAACCGGAGAGTTATCTCGGCGAGTTATGATTTCGGAGAGTTATGTTCAAACCACGCCCACTTTCCCCAATGACCACACCCAATTTCTTAACTCTCCCGATGTTTCCTTGAACTAACATGAGAGAGTTATGTTTGACGTAATTCTCTCTCGTTAACATTATGAAGATGTTAGAGAGTTATCATTTTTTATAACTCTCCGCGTTCACGATTATGGCAATGAATAGAGTTAAGTCAGTTTTTTGAGAAAACCTTAGTAAAGCTTGTTTCTTCAGATTTTCATCTTATATTTTGCTATTTCAGTTTGTATACAGCGTGTCAATAGCGTGCGTCCAAACAGGAAATACAACTTGACTCGGTCAAAACAATGAGATGCTTGCATCAGGAGGGTCAAAGTACCCCAGAAGCATGCTTTGACGTGTATTTGGGAGTAAATACGGTAAGCATAGTTGTAAGAAAATTAAGAAAATTGAATCAGCAATTCAGGTTTTGGAAATACTTTCCCAGATAAGCCAATAAGGCATTACATTGGAAAGGTTTTCTGGTTCTATCTAATACGAGAGCTGTATGTGAATGCTGGTCTTGCTAGATAATCCAAGTGAGCATGTATATAAACATTTACATATAGAGAACTTGGTAAATACTAAAGTACTATTAGTTTCTACTAGCGTGAAATGTTAAAGCTGACACTTCAGAAAAAAGTAAATTTACAAATATTTACTAATATGTGGACGTTTTTTTCAAAAAAGCTGACATAACTCTTTTCATTGCCACAATCATGAACGCGGAGAGTTATAAAAAATGATAACTCTCTAACATCTTCATAATGTTAACGAGAGAGAGTTACGTCAAACATAACTCTCTCATGTTAGTTCAAGGAAACCTCGAGAGAGTTAAGAAATTGGGTGAGGTCGTTGGGAAAAGTGGACGTGGTTTGGGGGTGGTTCGACCATAACTCTCCGAAATCATAACTCTCCGAGATAAATCTCCACTTCATAACTCTCCGTTTAGCCGGTCCCCTCACTGGCCTGTTTACGTTTCCTATATTCCTTTGCATAAACTCTTCTCCTTTCCTTAGACTCGGGGCTCTGTGTCTCATTAGCTTGTTTTGGTTTCATGTATTTGTTTATATACTGTGTTCTTGTTTGCTTAGGCTGAGAGCTCTGGGTTGACTGTTCAGGGTATATCTCAACAAAACCTGATGTTGAAGTACATGACAATGCTGATACATGGTGATACTCATCTATATGTCCCAAATAGACATGAGTTAGTTGCTGTGTTGATGATACAGGTTGTATTATACTGTACTCACGAAACCCTTCATGCGTCTCTGCAAATAGTAATTTTTAACTTAAGCTTGTCAGCCACAGCTTGTATTATCATAGCATCACCCCATGTCCCTTGCATAGACATATTATTCAGGTATTCTAACCAAGAGATTTCAGTATTACTTTCAATGAATCTCTCAGGATTATCTCTCATATACGCAATACCAGCCGCTCTAACTTCAAAGTGTCGTTCAGGGTCACCATATAATTGATGTGACACAGCTCGAAAGAAACAGTCACCATAACCACCGACATCAAATGGTCTTAACTGAAAGCGTCTTAACCTTTGTTGTAACACTACATTTGACGACACCCTAGTTGAACTGTTGTTTTGAACAGGACCAGGATTTAATTCAATATCTCCTGATAACATTAGTGTCCTTTGAGATATGTGATATTGTTCATTGGCAATATTGCCTGCTATGTTTTGACAGTTTAACATATTACACAATGATTCTTTTGCTGTATTCATGTTTTTGTGAACTAAGTTGACACATGGCTTAGAATATCCAAATGAATTCATAAAAATATGTTATATTTGCACAAATTGAAAACAACATTGCTTGAAATTACTAGCTATCTTGTTCAAAATGGATGACCTGGGGGCAGTTCTTACAAAATAATGCTTTAAAAATTATCTATTTTTTCTCTTTCTCATAGCTAATATAATTCTCTTTAAAGGTAATCTGGAAGGTGCACGGTCTCTACATCGTTTAGCATTTGCTTGCTTAGTTATTTTCCGTACAGTCGATCTGCAACTACATGCACAGTGATCTGAATTTATACACTTAATATAGCTACTATGAGTACAGTATAAATGTACAATGTCATATGTATTTGCTTGTTCCGATCTCCGAAGAGACTGATTTGGTCTCCGAAGAGATTGATTTGATCTCCGAAGGGATTGTTTTATTGATCTCCGAAGAGATTGTTTGTTTGATCTCCGAAGAGATTGTTTTGCTCTTCGAAGAGATTGTTTTGATCTCCGAAGAGATTGTTTTGATCTCCGAAGAGATTGACTACTTACCAGATGAGGATAAGTTTCCATGTTAATAGTAGAATGGCGAGAAAATAAGAGAGCAATTCAACATATTTTTGAACCCAAAATGGCGAACACTTGACAACACGAGGCCATCAGCCCGCCATTTATGCCCGTTCGCAGGTTAGGTGTGTGCATGATGTAAGCTAATCGCCGATTGGCTTTTAAATTATATAAGCTCGTCGCTGAATGGCTAGAGATACGGTAACAGTACGGTACGGTACGTTTGCGACAGCAATATATCTGCTTCGCAGATACAAAAATGATAAGGAAGATTAAATTTTTGCTTTTGATAATATTAAGCAAATCGTCTTAAAATGTTGGAAATATATTAAATATGTAAAAACCTCAATCATGAGATAGGCACTTTAAGGTAATCTTCTTACGCTTTTGAAAATCAGAAATAATGTCAACACATTTTCTCAACTTTTCCAAAGGTAAACGGGCCTCAAATCTGATCGTGTCTAACTCAATACCTGCAAAACAAAGCGTGGTTGAAGGACCACACGTTTTTTCCGGTGCCATGGGCAATCCAATAAAAGCGCAAAAATCGAGAAAACGTTTTAATCGAACTGCACAGGCGTCATAAGATGGGGGATACAAGGAGAAAATCGTCAAGTAAATGTAAAATAGAATCAATGAGAAGTTTTTGTTGAGCAATCCACTGTAAAGCCGTACTAAAAATTTCAAATGTTTTACACGAGCTGGCTGCCCCGATAGGAAGGCATCGATCATAATAATACATGCCCTGCCATTTCATACCCAGTAAATAGTGGTCCTCTGGTCGAATAGGAATAATACGGAACGCATTTTTAATGTCTGTTTTCGCAAGAAAACAACCCTTCCCGTTGGATTTGATTAAACGTATTGCATCAGCCACGGTGGCATATAAATGCACACTAGTATCCTCAGGACCAATGCCATCATTGACTGAAGATCCTCGTGGGAAAGATAAATGATGGATCAATCGAAATTCACCAGGAGACTTTTTAGGCACAAGACCCAAGGGGGAAACTCGAAACGGATGAAATGGCATGGCATGAAAAGGTCCAGAGATTCTGCCAGCGACTAATTTTTAGACAGTTTTTGAGTAACAACGTTTTGGTGCGCTTTAGCCGAAGTCAAATTTTTACCCTCAGTTTGGTTAATGAAGCCGTTAAAATGTAAAGAAAAACCATGCGTAAAACCTGAAACAAGTGTTTTGCTATCGTCAGGGTTATAACCCTGTAAAAATGAATTAAGATGATTTATTTGTATGGGGGTTGGGAGCGGCATTGCGCTTATCGGACCTAGCGTTTCGGTTCGGATCTCGTTTTGGTGGGCCACGAAAATTACATCTTATGGCTGGGTGTGAGCCAGCGCATTAAAAACAGGTGTGCTTAAACTCACAATCCGAACATGCGTCGCCTTTGTGAAATCTAAAACAATGGCCGCGAGGTATACTAAGAAAAGGCAATTTGGTAGTATTAGCGACAGCGCGTTGCCCAGGGCCGACTGATCTACTGGTAGGATACTGCGATCTTAGCCACAATTCCCAATGCACATTGGCCCAAGGCACCGCGCTGCGTTCTTTCTGTCTCAGAAAACGAAAATTTTCATCGTAAAAACGACAATTATGGCCTCGATTTGCTAGGTCCTGCACAATATCGCCGTATTTCATGAGTGCGGGGGACTCATGAGGATATTTCTGTGTGTACACCCCGACAAAAATTCGGAAAGCGCTCATCCAGGTCGCGATATGGGCGACCTTTTGTGGTTTGTGGACAGGTTCAAACGAAAGAGAGGGATGAAGACCATCATTAGAGGTCTTTACACTCAATTGAAATTTGGTGTCGACCGCCCCGGGATTGCTCAACAAAGACCCAAAATCAATATATTCGTCGTTCCAAATTTTGTTTTTTAATTTTGTTGTTATCCTGGAGTCAAGAGGCAAATGGATCGATTCGTAGGGTTGACTTGGCATCGCAGAATAAGAGGAAGGCTCACCTGCAACGGCGGAATGCACGGACTGTAAGGCTTCTTCAGTCGAGGTGGATGCTCCCATCGCGACAACTGGGGCCTCAACAACAGCGGCCGAAAGCTCCGCTTGATGGTGTGGTGTAAGTCGCCGAGTAACTTCAGCAGTAACTGTTGACACGATCGGCTGAAGAAGCTGTGGGGAGATGGTACCAGCATCAGACGCTGCCGATGTGCTGGCGACGCTGACGGGTTCGCGTACGGTTGAGCTCGTTGTTGCACCAGCGGACGGAGAAGCAATGGTTGGCTCTAAAGCAATGGTCGAACTACGAGTCAGCACACGAGGTCGCTGTGACGGCGATCATGAATCGGCCGGAGATTTCGACGACTTGCGTTTCGAACTCTTAGAACCTTTAGGTGGCATAATGAACTGAAAAAGAAATTACTGCAAAATGGATTAGAAGTGAGTTGCCCCTCAGAACGCAGATTGTGTAAGGAACGAGAACGCGATCGACAAATAGGAGAATTTTAACTGACTGGATCAAGCTTGGCCACACTAAAACGGTGACCGCACCACTTGCCCAAAACGCCAGATGGAAAAAAGGGCAAAGCCTCGGCTTACAGTGCAGTAAAACATTTGCATTAAATGAGGGCGAAGCCTCTGACAAAAAATTTTTGAGGGCGAAGCCTCAACAGGGAACACAGCGAAGTGCGATCCGTATAACAACAAATGTTGAGGGCGAAGCCTCGACTCACCACGAAGGGTGAGATAGCTGTATTTTAACATAAACATGTAATGGTATATAAATGAGGATAAGAAAAATCAAATAAAAATGCGACCGCACAGCGTGAAAGAAACTGAATGGCCTTGAGGATGGCGCCCCGATAACTTCTATACAAAGAATATATTGAGCTCTGCGGGTGTAATGGACGTCATCAGCCAGAAAAGGCGAAATGGTTGGCTGAGTAAAGCCTTTATGTCTCCAACAGAAGACGTTGTGCTTATCTTCTAACACAACCGTAAGGTATATTGGTTCAAGATCGCTAAATTTTGGAGAAGAGGCCCGATTGGTTACCAAACACACGCCGACGACTCTGACGGATGGAACCCCGAGCAACATGCGCACTAGATCGTCAATTCTCGATCCCACAGTTTCGGGTTTTTCCAAGGTTAAGTCATTTTCCCAACCTCTAAAATAACAATGTTGGGCTGAAACTGGGTAACCCTGTTGAAATCAAATTTAATTTAACTAATTTGTCAACAGTCCTCCCCTCAACACCATGCAGTTTGATAGCTACATTGTGCATGTTAAAATTTAGGGCAGCGCGAACATCGAATTTGGATCTTAAATCCCGATGCATGCGCTTCACAAAGGAATGACCAAATACCAGTACCTTTGGGTTGGGTAAAGCCATAATAGAAGAGAATAGGTGAAAGAATGATTGTGTAAAAAAAGAAATGTATCGCTAACCTGAAAGTAGGACCAAAATGATGTTGAAGATAAATTCTGAGTTCTTCACTTGACCACTGATAATGGAGATTTGCAAAATATCGAAGTTATCTTGGTTTAATACCTTGTTCTTGGCCCTAGCTGTTACATAGTTTCAAGTGCTCTAAATTTCCTCCCTCTTCAACAGGCGCGCCAGGGATTAACATTAAATATAATTAAATTGTTACTCACTTATCTAATTAGTTCAGGTGTGACATATTTCGTGGGAAATATTTTTATATATATATCAGACCACCTGATGATTCCTATACGGATGAAACAGACTGTTGTGGTTTTTTGAGGTAAAACGAAAAACTATATTACGCTCTATCTATATGGTATTGAGCACTGTTTGTGTTGCGTAAACCAAAAACTTAAGCTATATATATATATATATATATATATATATATATATATATATATATATATATATATATATATATATATATATATATATATATAGAGATATATAGAGATATAGAGATATAGAGATATAGAGATATAGATTTACATTTTACGTGTCCAATATATATTTATATATATTTATTTACGATGTGTTGCTGATAACATCATAACTTAACACATCGTTCTCAGCTTGACCTTGTAGCTCAGAAGGTAGAGCATCGTTCTAGAAATGCGAAGGTCGCGGGTTCGAATCCCAGCCGCGGTCAAGTAGAATTTTCTGCTTGCCCGGTTTGGTATACACTCGTCTGAAAACAACTCATAAACCGCTACATAACGTAACACGAGTGGAATCGTCAACGTGGGAAACCACAACATTCACATACAACATTGCCAGACTAATAGCTGGCTTTACGCATTGAAGGACTAACCTCCGAAATGCAACTAACATCATAACTTAACAAGTCGTTCTCAGCTTGACCTTGTAGCTCAGACGGTAGAGCGTCGTTCTAGAAATGCGAAGGTCGCGGGTTCGAATCCCAGCCGCGGTCAAGTAGAATTCTCTGCTTGCCCGGTTTGGTATACACTCGTCTGAAAACAACTCAAAAACCGCTACATATATATATATATATATATATATATATATATATATATATATATATATATATATATATATATATATATATATATATATATATATATATTGCGCACGCTCACTGCATGCAGTTTGAGCGCTCTGGCATGGTTTTGATGTCCCACAATCGTGAGGCATCAAAGGTAACTGTAAATGGCAGTTACTTTCATCCTGCTCATCAGCACTACACTGATGAGGCCCATAAGGCCGAAACGGGACCGTCTGTAGTTAGATTACGCTCTATGGCCTTTAGGTCATATTGAGCGCTCTACAGGATGAGCCATGCCGCTTACGCATTGCGCACGCTCACTGCTTGCAGTTTGAGCGCTATGGCATGGTTTTGATGTCCCACAATCGTGAGGCATCAAAGGTAACTGTAAATAGCAGTTACTTTCATCCTGCTCATCAGCACTACACTGATGAGGCCCATAAGGCCGAAACGGAACCGTCTGTAGTTAGATATCGCTCTATGGCCTTTAGGTCATATTGAGCGCTCTACAGGATGAGCCATGCCGCTTACGCATTACGCACGCTCACTGCTTGCAGTTTGAGCGCTCTGGCATGGTTTTGATGTCCCACAATCGTGAGGCATCAAAGGTAACTATAAATAAGAGTTACTTTCATCCTGCTCATCAGCACTACACTGATGAGGCCCATTAGGCCGAAACGGTACCGTCTGTAGTTAGATATCGCTCTATGGCCTTTAGGTCATATTGAGCGCTCTACAGGATGAGCCATTGCCGCTTACGCATTGCGCACGCTCACTGCTTGCAGTTTGAGCGTCCTGACATGGTTTTGATGTCCCACAATCGTGAGGCATCAAAGGTAACTGGTAAATAGCAGTTACTTTCATCCTGCCCATCAGCACTACACTGATGAGGCCCATAAGGCCGAAACGGTACCGTCTGTAGTTATATATATATATATATATATATATATATATATATATATATATATATATATATATAACATATATATATATATATATATATATATATATATATATATATATATATATTTTATATATATATATATATATATATATATATATATATATATATATATATATATATATATATATATATATATATATATATATATATATATAGCTTCCTTGGGTACTTATAATGTAGAATAATGAAAAAACTCAAATTTTGTGAATTTAGGGGCGGGTGTCTTTTCCAACAAATTAAAAATGGCTCGTACACAAAATTGAAAAGTTGTAATCATATTTTGAGTTCATGGATGGAAAATGTGTTGGGCTTTTCAATAACTGTACAAAATTTCAGACAATTTGGTTTAGTTTAAGCCTAAAAAATCAGCCTTTCGCATGCTCAATTAATGCCTTTACCTAATTTGCATATTGCTGACATATGCAAATTAGTCGTGCAAATAGCTGAGTTTTAGGAAAAAATGTAATTTTGCGTGAATAGTTAAGGCGCTTAAACTAAACCAAATTGTTTGAAATTTTGTACAGTAATTAAAAACCTAACACGTTGTGCACCTAACTCAGAATGTGATTAAAGCTTTTAAATTTCGTGCGTAAGACATTTTTAGTCTCTTGGAAAAGACACACCCCCTGGTTAACAAAATTTGAGTTCCAGAAATTTTTTTCATTATTATACATTATAAGTACCCAAAGAAGCTATATACATAAAAAAACAACTAGATACTAATAGCTGTTTTGCGAAATTGAGAGCAAAATAATTCATATCCGTTCAGTTTTT